AATATCACATGGGATACTACAATATTTTTGTTGATCTTGTGCATAGATCATGCTTGCAAAGTGATCAAAAGTGATCTTGAACTTTGTGTTGTCTTGAATTCAGCTTCATCAATGTCTCTTGCAAAAGTCATAACTTCATGTTCAAGTAAGATAAATATTTGTTCTTGGACTCTTCGGAAAGCTTGAAACATCCTCTACAACTTTCATGTTAATTTCTTTTTTTGAATCATCTTGGATCCTAAAGAAAATTGCCTTCAAAGTTGGTTACTTGTCATAGGCAAAATTAGTTGAAAATTTCACTAATTGTTTTGGTTCAAAAGTGAACGGATCCTCCACTTCATGGCCTCATATATCTTTATTCATTAATTTTTCTGAATTTGTCCCCTATAAAAAAGTTGAAGTGTGAAATAAGATCTTAAATTGGATCTTTGGAGCAAAGAAAATTGTTGCTTGTAGAGAAAGTTATGAACTTGAGAAGTTGGGCAAAAATCATGGAATTTCTTAACTTAGAAAAATTAAGAAATCCTAATTTTCCCAAGTTATAATATTTGGATGTTTTCTTTGATTTTATTTATTGGTAATGATCCAATTCACATATTTTCATGATCTTTGACTTGAGGAGTTCATGTTTGACTAAAACTTCTAAAAGTCAAACTTTGGTTTTGAGGAACAATTGGCTTTTTCAAATGAATCCTGATTTCCTTCAATTGCTCATGAACCAAACTTCTTAGATCAATCCAATCATATGAATGGGCTAATATGGTACATTTGAGGTCCTTGACACATGTTCTGGGGTATTGGATCATGCACTGCTTCAAAAGTCAACCCATGGACTGAATTAGATCAAAATTCTAATTTTGATGCACCAGATGACTTAGGACTTGTTGATATTGATTCAATGCAATCTTGCATTTTATTATTGATAAGAGGAGACCCTTGATTAATTTGAATGAATGAGAGATTTGAGATGTTGAAGATTACACCAATCCCTGGCTAATCATCAGTTTGAACATCTTGAGGCACAACCTAACTTGTAAAGCAAGCAAGCACACATTTCCTGTATTTGTAATGGGTTAATGATACATAAAGACACACACACACACACACATGTAATTCTAAATGTCATGCAAATGATGTAAATGAGATGGATTATTAGGGGGGAAATTAAGGTGTGACACATATCTACATGGACCATTTGAATAAATAGGCCAGCAAGGAATTATGAATCGGTTTTCCAATCTTGCATTTTGAAAAGAATTGGTTGTGTGATACATGCCAAAATAGTAAACAAATAAAGACCTTCTTTAAATCAAAAAATATTATTTATACAAATAAGCATTTACAACTCTTTATATAGATCTTTTTGCCGCATTCAAAACAATAAATTTTTGCAGAATTATTAGGCCCAGTAATAGTGGATAACTATTCTTACTATAGCTAGACATTTTTCTTGATAAGATTAATTCTAAAGATGACTCCCTTTAAATTATACAAAGAAAGGAAGCCTGATATTACCACCTTCACTTTTTCAGATAAAAGTGTTTTGTCCTTAATAACGGTAAGGATAACCTTGGCTAATTCGACGTAAAATCTGATGAAGGTTTATTCTTAAAATATTTCACTTCTAGTAAAGCTTAGAATCTTCGATAATAAACGTTGGCTATAAAAGTTTCTTTTTTATAAGAACTAAGTTAAGAATTCTACAGTAATCATACATAAATTAATTTGGTATGTGTTTCTTCTCATTCTTCTTCCTCTTCACAATGTGAAATACTTGTTCTGTGTTTTTTTTAACTAAAACAACATATTTTATTAAAGGCACTTAAAAGAGCCGGTTAGGCTTAGGCCCATATTTGATACAAATGAGGTTTTTGTTCACTGTGGTTTTTTATTAAAGGCACTTAAAAGAGCCGGTTAGGCTTAGGCCCATATTTGATACAAATGAGGTTTTTGTCCACTGTGGCTTTTTTGGCCATGTAATTGGTCATCCTATTGTTCTCTTTACTAGTGTAAGTAATGGTCCAGTATCTAAAATACTTTAGGGTTTCACTAATACTATTCATCAGATGTCCAAGATGAGTATTATCCCTCTTGTTTACTTGTTTATCTTCTTCTTCTTTTTTCTTGCTTTTGGATAATGCCAAAGGGTAAGAAGTATATTTTTTGGAGAGTAAAATATACTCTATTTATTTTTTAGGGGGACTTAACAACTCCAATATTTTCATCTTTATTTTTTTTAATTTGCCACTTTTTGAGAAATGTGTTGTGATCATCAAAAGGGGAACAATGTGATTCTATCAAGTTATAAAGTTATTTATGGTTTTGATGATCACAAAAGATCGAAGATAATCATAAGAATATCAGTATAAAAGATTGAGGTTATCAAAAAAAAAATTGATCAAGTTCTAGTATCAAGAGCAAAAATAACTCAAATACAAAGAGCAACATCAAAAGAAACTAAAATTGTGAAAGTTCATATGATCATGCGTTTTATTGTTTTATCCTTTTTTTTATCAAGAGAATGTAAATAAGGAAGTGTAGTTCTTGAGGTACTAATGCAATGCTTACACATGCTAAAAAGTATTCACAAATCTTCATTTATTTCAAAATCTCTTGAAAATTACTTTTGTCCTTTACCTAATCGATTAGAAAATATCTTGACCAATTTGGTAAGCAAAACCAATTAGAACTTGCATCTAATCGATTAAGGAGAATCTCTCCATATATCCATTAAGAACTCTTTTAATTGATTAGGATGTGAGCATGGCTTAAGGATTTTCTTATTTGTTAAGTATAATTGATTAGCATCGCATGCTAATTGATTCGAGAGTGGCCATAGCCAATGGATTATCTCCTTTTTTAACCAAATTTTCTCTCTTATTAAAAAAAAAAATCTTGTAGACTCTTCTAAAACAAAAGAAATTCTAAGTTCACACTCTTTTATTCTCTCACTATGTTTCTGAAAATTGTTTTTCGCTATTACTTTAGTGCTAAGAGAGCGAAAGACTTATATTTGAGAGTTGCGTAATTTTGTTGTTTAATCATTTTGAGTTGTAAATGTAATTTTCAAGAGCATGGTTCTTTTGTATCTTTATAATTGATATTGAGGTTGCAAGCTAAATTTGTGGAAAAGTTTGGTGTAAGGAAGGTTGTTTGGTTGATCTTGGTATAAACCTTCAAGTTGTTTAGAGAAAATTTCAAAGAAAACTTAGACACCGAATTAGGCGGCGTGATTTAAAGGTGGATCAATATAAATCTTAATATGATCTCTATATTTTGTTTTACTTTTTCAATTTTTATTTTCCACATCTCTCCTACTTCTTATTTTTAAATTCAACTAATCGTGAAACTTTTTCAAAAACTAAATAAAATAATTCATTTTCCATCCTCCCTTCTGTGTTTTAAGTCACTTGGTGAATAGGACTAAGGTACAAAACATGTTGGTTGAGGAGTTAGATGTTGGTCACATTGAGGTTGAATATAGATTGAAATTATTGGTCGTGTATGTGAATCCATGAGCAATATAGTGAAAAATATAATCAAACAACTCGATAGATTTTAGATGCATCTACTTTGATGATATTTCAATCACCAAACATTCTATACATAGAGACATATTGGTTGGTGTTCATCCAAAAATTTCAACAAATATTGCATTTCAATTCCCAAATGCATTATAGCTTTGTTTTTTAAATGTTAAACGTCATAAACTTACTTAATATTAGACACACAGACGAACCCCCTTATTTTTCAAAGTCGTGATAATGTTTTTGAGAAGAATTGTGTTCATTATCATCAACAACAAACTTCCCTTCAACATTTAAATGATCTATAAAAATATACTTTTTAACTTGCAATGTAAATCATAGTTGTATAGTTGGCAAATCATTGACGGGTTTCAAACATTTGAAGATAGGTGGTAACCAATTTCATAGTAGACATTTACATTTTTATGTTTAAGTGTCATCGTGTTTCATCTCACTGTTAGTTTCTATTGACCACCTCTGTCAAAATTCAAACAATAAAAAATATTATTCTATAGATAAACCTGTGTCCAGTCAATTACGCAGCTTTTAAGATAAACCTATGTCCGGTGATAACATATTTACGGGAAAGGATTGGCTACCTTTAAGTCAAATACCTTTGATAAATAGATTAATTGTGTTACATCTAGATTTATGAGAAAAATTGTTTGGTTTTTCAAAATGATTGAAAAAATTTGTGAAAGATTAATAGCATGTTTTATTTAGTTTTGCATAATTGTTTTTTTTATACAATAGTCTAATTTTTTATACAATAGTCTAAGTTTTAGAAGTTTTTATTTTAGTTTATAATTTTGAAAATTAAAAAAAGAAAAATATATAGAAAATAATACAGTTTTTATTAATAGCAAATTTGTAATATTCTATTTTCCTTTTAATAACTAAAAAGTAAAACAAGCCCTGATTGTTTGTTTCTCACAATAATCATGTATTCCAGACTTCCAAAGAGTACGTTGTCTCTACTACGGGGCGTTACAGATCAACAACATTTAAATGCATGAAAACTTCATCAGTTAACCAAGGAATATTAACCACATAAATAACCCGAATTCAGACTACTTAGACCACGGGGTCGAGGGCAAAATAGCAATACTGAGTTAACGAGACAATAAAAATATATCCCTTCTACATATGCGCTATAAATAACAAAACATTTAACAAGACAAATTTGATTGAAGCGCTTATAAGATAAATCTGAATCACATAATCATAGATAATGGAGTTTGAAAATGGAGCAATTAATAAAACATAGATAAAAAGCATTCAGCAAACAATATTTTAATGTTACATAAGGACCGCATAAAATAAATATAAATGTTCTTAGCAATCATAGGAGGGATGAAGTTAAACAAAAACAAGAGCAAGTTGGATTTCAAGCCACACAAGACACGAAAAAGAGAAGAAAACAAAATTAAGTATCATAGAAAGTACAAAATGGAAAATATGGATCTGAACTTCTTAGCTATATCCTAATTGCTGTTGCTGCTGAGGAGGTTGGTAGTTAGCATACCCTGCAGGATAACTGCCATACATATTGGGGTCTTGTCCAGCAGCAGGGGCATAAGCATAATTTTCATAACCCTGGGGATATCCATAGTATCCACTGCTACCATTCCATTGGTTTGGATCCTGTTGAGTCTGAAAATCCACAAAGAAATACTAGTCCATTAGATCAAAATCAGCTTTAAAAGTTGCAAATAATGCAGATTTACATTAAATCTACAAAACTATTACCTGTTTGTTTGCTGGGCTGCGTCCCCATGAAAGTCTAACATTTTGTCCTCCTAGAAGTGTACCATTTAAAACCCGCAGTGCTTCCTCTGCTGAGCTCCTGATATATGAAATATAGTGCCAAATATAGTTGGCACGATCAGCACACTGAAGACAGGGGAAGTAATTCCATCACAAGATAAATATTGAATATCTAAATGATTAATTTACCTGTCTGCAAATTGGACAAACCCACATCTCTTGCCTGACGGAATCTTCACATGAACAAGTTCTCCATATTGCCCAAAGACTTGTTTCAAATGATCGTCTGTGACATTAGGATCCAAATTGCCAACAAAAATCTGCAATGAAAAAGAATCAGGTTACAAGCAAGTAAAAATGAGAATAATTTCTATGTAACAAAGAAGTACGCACAGTTGTATTATTTGGGTCATTCTCGTTCTGTGCCCCCCCTTGAGGATTCTGATATGAAGCTGCATTTTAAAAGTAAAAGCAAATAAAAGTTGAATGACATAAAACATGGAAGGAACTAGTTCATTAGGAAAAAGAAAGAAGATAAGCATTTATTGTATGTGTAAAATGCCAACTTATATTACTGAAACAAAATTTTCAAGTATAATATATGTTCATATATTCATTCAAAACAGCTATTCTGATGCTTTAAACATTCAATTTCAGCCACAGATGATTCATTCCAAAAGCATGCACACATGAATATGAATAGGGATTTCAGAAGCAAAAAATTACTTAAATTTTAACAAATAGAAATGATGATCTATAAATAAACACCACATTCAATTTACTACATGAAGGATGAATGACAAAAAACATGGAAGTAAAGGATGCACAAAAGGTTGAGCAATAAAAAGGTCAGTCGGTGCCTTAGTCACACCACCAATGTTGGGATGCAAGAGAGTGGTGTTCATCATTAAAGTCCAATAAAAGGAAAAGACGAATGACAACAATATGGGAGCAAAACCACTACATAAGGAAAAAACAAAAGACAAAAAACGATACTATAAAATGCACAACTTAAATTTCTGAAACAGAACTTCCAAACATAATTAAATTTGGTCAAACCAGCTAGCTATGTAGATACTTTGAATATTCAGTTTCAGCTGCACGGGATTTATTCCAAAAGCATAGATGAATTTCAGAAACAACAAATGAGGCATCAACTTGTAATTCTGAGTGACTAGGCTACACATTGGACTGAGCATTGTATGATAAATAACAAATTAAGTACCCTGAACTGTGCAGAGAAACTTACCAAAATATGATAGGGAAATGGCCATTGCATAATGACAAAAATTAAATAATGGGACAGCAAACAACTAATCTGCACAGTACAGATTCTACAAAACACAAGCACTAATGACCAAGTCTTCTGCATATAGTACAGATTCTACAAAATTAAAGCACTAAAGACTAGGACTCCACTTTATTCCCTTGTGGATTTGTGATTGGAAACTTAAATTATAAAAGCATCAGATAGATGAAGCAAAATTTATGAAAAGTAAAACAAGATTTGCTGTAGAAACGATAAATCTTGCAAAAAATAATAATAATAACCACTAGTTCTAAAGCAAGAACTAAGATTTTGGTAAAACTAAAAAACACCAAACGAAGTAAGCTCAAAAGAATAAAAATTAAGAGCTGAAACAAAGAACGGTGGGCTGGAAAAATAAAAAGCTGCGGTATGTAATTAGGCTAAAAGCCAACCAACAAATTGAATGGAAAAGAGAAGTAAATAGAGTAGGTGCGGAATATAGGCGGAAAAGAAAATGCCACCAAAAAATAATGGGCGAGACATAAACGGATTACTGACCTACACAAGGCCATGCACTAAAATGGTAACCATTTCATCTGAAATCAGTTCCAGGCTCCGAGATGACAGAGCCTCTTGACACCCTGCTTTGAGACAACAGGAGTTCGATAAGATTTTATTATTCTACATCATTTACTTAGCCCAAATTTTGAAACGAAATTACGAACAAGAATTGAGTTTGGACAGCATATCTTCAAGAGCCTGACTGAAACTTATCATCTAATAAAGGATAATATCTAGGATACACACAATATGATAACATGAGTATAAAGCATAATACCCAAACAGTAACAATTGGCATCATGAAGGAAAACAACTTAAATTTTCTTTATGATGATCAACATGTAACAACCATTAAAGAGACAAACCTTTTGACGTCTGTGTATTAAGGTTTTTGTTAGAAGCTGGTCCAATACGCATGGGTCTTGTGGAACAAAGAACCCCTTGCATTTCAGTCATAGCCCTCATTTGTTCACTCTCATCTGCAAACCTAACAAAACCATAACCTTTTGTCCTGCCAGTGAGCCTATCAATTACAACTTTGGCGCCCTTAACTGAGTTATACCGAGTTCTAAATACTTCCGTCAGATGATAATCAGTAACATCAGCAGCCAAGTCTCCAACAAATATGGTATAATCAGGAGAATCATCATGACGCTTCTCACCAGAACTAAAAGTTGCCCAGTTCAATCTGAAGTTCTGTCCACCATTTGGCATAATGGTACCGTTAAATGATTGAAGTACTCTCTCAGCACCAGAACGACTAGTAAACTCAAGAAATCCATAACCTTCAGATTGATTAGTCTGCTTATTGCGAATAACTTTAACAGATCCAACCTACAAACAAACAGTTCAATTTCTTAAATAATAAATACAATGACCTTGAACCACCACCAGACACCAACTAACCTTTCTAGATCCACACATCAGTTTCAAAGTCAGTATAGCAAAAATCATAGAGTATAACAATAACAATCACCCTAGAACAATAAATAGTTCAATTATAAGTATAACATAACAAACCATGTAAAGAAAGCAACCCAATTTCTACCAACAGAACAAATCATGAAAACAAAGCAACCCAATTTTCTACCAACAGAACAAATTTTGGAAACAAAGCAACCCAATTTCTACCGACAGAACAAATCATGTAAACAAAGCAATTCATTTTCCAGGGACAGAATAAAATCAAAATGATAACCCTAATGTCTTGGAAACAAAAAACATGAAAAGGTGTTAAAAGAACATTGGATTCATACTAAAATAACAGCTAATTCGATCGTTCACATTCACATGAATTCCTAGCTTCAACTAAAATGCAAACCCTAACAATAGAGTACAATCGATATTGCAGAAACTTGTTCAACTAAATACAAACCCTAACAAAAAAGTACAATCAAACTTGCCGAATCATTTTCAACTAAAATACAAACCCTTACAAGAGAGAGTACAATCGATTATACCGAATCGGGTTCTATAGATCTAAAACCATATCATAAAAATTCAAATCTAAATTTCAAAGTAGAAATCAAAACAAAAAGATCGCAATTCATGAATAAAAGAAAGCGGCTATACCTCGCCGGTGTGGGAGAAACATTGGTAGAGATAATTCTCGTCCATCCAGTATTGCAAATCACCGATCCAAAGAGTCCGAACTTCGTCAGCGCTGGCAGGTTGCGCCTGTTGCTGTTGAGGCGCAGATTGAGGAGGAGCCTGAGGAGAAGGGGCCCACATATGAGGAGGTTGGGTTTGAGGCTGCGGCTGCGGAGGCATCATCAAGTAGGGTTGTTGTTGGTGGTGTTGTTGGTATTGTTGGTGGTGTTGTTGTTGGGGGACGGTGGGTGGAGCAATACCAGGTCCGCCGGGTTGCATCATCTTCTCTGGTTTGATGGATTGAATCTGAAATTTCAGAGGAAGAGAGAGAAGAGAGAACGGAGGGAAAGAAGGAAGTGGTGTGTGGGTGTTGTGTGCGCCCTTTAAAGAGTGGTTGAGACTCAAACCCTAACCGGGGTGCGTGTCAACATTACTACCGTCTTACTGGATTACATTTTATTTTATTTTGTTGTATAAAGATTTTATTTTATTTTGTTATTCAAAAATTTTATTTTATTTTAAACTATCAATTTATCATCATCATCCATTTGAAATAAAATATTATGTATTAATAACAAAGGATCAAAATTATAAAGGATCATTCATACTCTCCAATCCTATTTTCTTTTACAGCCCAATCAAATTTTTTATTTAAGCTACACTTAGACAAAATAATTTGCATAAGTTTATCTATATCATTGTGATATATATCTTTTGATCTAGTATCATCAGAATGGACTATCGTGACTTTCAACGTATGGCAGCAATAATAATTGTAGGAGAGGAGAGTGGTGTACCTGTTGTCGCTACTGCGAAAAAAGGTGTCGGCAATGACAGAAGAGTCGTCACCGTTCGTTTTTTATCTCAAAAGAGGGAAAGGAAACGATCATAGAAAACTTGACGAAAACGGGAGAAGACAGGTCATCGCACTCATATCTCGAGTTTGGGAGTCGGTTACGCAAGTGGAAGGTATGAGCACCTCTCACGTCCGTCGTACTCAACGGGATCCACGCTTGTTGTCTATCTAAGAGGGTGTTTATCTGTCTAGCTAAAGGACTCAGGGACAAAAGAAAAGAAAAGTGACTCGGCAGAGCATCGCCGCTTTGTGCCTACGTATTCCCCTCGTGCAATGGGAAAGTCAGAGTCAACGTAGTTCGGCTAACTACGGGCGAAAGATGGGGGAAGGTTACTCGCTAAGACATCGTCGTCTTGTGCCTACGTATTCTCATCTGGTATGAGAAATCAGAGCAAATGTAGTTCGGGTGATAAGAACACTGGTTGGTTCAAATGTTTTTAACCGAGTAGGGTTAACAACTAGTTCTAGCAGTTAGGTGTATGCAGCTCGACCATTGGAGACTTAGGCGTCACCTTTTTGTGGTAGAACTAAGAGTTAGCGAAACTCTTTTTTTATGAAAAAGGTTCTCCATTATTAAGGGTCCCAAATGACAAAAATGATTTGAAGTTGTTTTTGAAGTCTTTTAGAGAAGAAGTGTTTTGAGTTTAATTTGTAACTCATGTTGCACTAAAGAGTATGACCTAGGAGCGAATGTGTCGCATATCACCCAAAGGGTGTACACTAAACACTCTAGGTCATTGAGAGGAAGTCACTCAATCACCATTTCCCAAGTACTTAAGACTCGTAACGCACAACATTCGTTAACCTTTATTAAGTGTTTTTGAAATGATTTGAAGATGAGAAGGAGAGAGGACAAACTATAGGGAGACTAATTCAAACCTAGTGGTTGTCATGCAAAATGATCCTAAGATTGAGGTTAGGACAAACTATTGAGGTTAGGGGGATGTTACCTAATGTTATCATATATGGTTTAAGTCCTAAGGTCTATCATAATCTCAAAGAGATTAGAGGTCCTAAGGGAACATGGCAAAGAAGAAAGAAAATGAAGCATAATAAAATAAGAAAGATGCGAGTATGCATATGAAATGCAACACACAAGCAAAGGAAGGAAAAAGTGTGGGGTAAACACATCCACAAGCACATATCAACCTTTATTAATGCAAGAAGAAATGCAAGGAAGAAAAGAGGAGGAATGCATAAAAGAGAATGCACTACACAAAAGAATGCAAGACATACATCATGTGAAACTCTAATGGCAAGCTTAAAAATATGCACAAACTTTAACAAGCTATGAGCAAAATTTTGACCTATAATTGAGCATACAAACACTTCAACATGTCTATAATATGATTCCACAAGAGTTAGGGGTTTAAGGAATGCACACAAGTCATTTTCAAAGCAAACTAGTTCAAACACTAGTGTAAATATCACTTAGATGATAACCCAAATGGAAATTACCCTAAAAATAGGAAACATGCTCAAAAATTACCAAATAAAATCCTAGATGACCCCTAAGGTGTTATCAACCAGGGGTAAAAAGTATGAGGACCAAGTCCTACCAAAATAATGCAAACAGAAATGAAACCCTAAAGGTATACCAAAGGGAAAGGGTGAATCGAGGGTCACCAAAAATGGCATAAAAGCCCAACCAAAATGCCCCAAACCAGGGGCAAAATTGTCTCAAAAATTTCTTCAACTCATCATGAATATGAGGAAGAAATTTCACTCATTGGACCAGAAGCAATGCTCAAGAAATAAAATCAAGAACAAAGAAGAAGCAAATATTAAATCAAATAAAACACTTCCAATCATAAATTCCATTTTTAATTGAAAAATGATCCAAAAAATAAAGAAAAAATTTCCTAAACTCAAATAACATCTTAAAATGTCTAAAAAGTATTTTGGTGGAATTTTACTACACTTGGAATTATTTTTTCTGATTTAAAATCAAAACAGATGTTAAAAGAACAAAGAAAAATAAAAGAAAAATAAAATGGTGCAGATAGCAATTCAATTCAGTTAAATTCCTTGGGCCTTCATAAAAGGGAGGTGCGGATAGTGGTTAAGGCCCAAAATTAAAACACTCAGAACTCATATGAAACGCCAAAACGAGGCATTTCATTAATGATGTGGAAAGTCAGCAAGTCAAATGGCCATTCAAAGCAATCAGGGTCGTTCATCTTGCTTAGTCAATGGGTCAAACGTGCGTGTGGCAATACACGCTGGCAACGGAACAAGCAAACCAGACGGTGGCTCCGGTCATCTTATCTGTTTGGCTCGCCGGAGAAAAATGTGCAAGAATGAACCAAAACGCGCAATTCTTGATACCAAAATGATCCTCGTGTTACGTACATCATGAATCTAGGTTTTAATCTTACTTATCACTCATAAATAAGGAGATCCGAAGCAATCAAGAAACAAGCTCATATCACAAATCATCAAGAAAATGATCCTAACTAATCCAGAATTTGCCTACGTGAGTAGGGCTTCAATATGCACCAACAATGACATGAAATGGATGCTTAAAGAGAGTGTAATCTTGAAAGAGAGTTTACCTAATGGAGCTCCTCCATTGGGTCTTGAATTGATGCTTAAACTCGTGGGAAATAATCCAGAAACCTTCAATGATCTTCAACGAAGCTATTAGTGATCTTCAATTGGCATGAATTGCTCTCAAATGGAATTCACGATTTCGCCTTGCTTCTTGAATTTTGCAACTTCTCCTAGCTCCAATTTTCACTTATGAGCCTTTGTTCTTCATCAGAGACTTTTATATTTTGGATCTAGCATCAAATGGAGGCCCAATCATGGCCTGTTATGGAGAATTGAAAAATCCAAAGTTGAAAGTTGGAAGCTTCATGTATGCGTGTAAATTGGCTCCAAAGGCTTTAATTTTGATTCAGATGTGTTGTTGGTGATTCATTCTGATCCAATGGATGAGAATTAGCCCTTGAATTAATCCCATGGTTAGAATTGAATGTGTGACTTCAACATGAAGTAACTTGAAATTGCTCTTGTTTTGCTCATCATAAACCAAATATGATTTGTGCATTGTGCTTAGTATGTTTAAGTGAATCAAAAATTGCACAAATATGGTGTGAAAATGATTCAAATGGATTCAATTCAAATCATGGCCTTTAAAGTCCTTTTTCCATGGAATTCCTTCACCAATCTTCACCTACATGCCAAATCCATGATAAATGGATGTTCCATGATGAAATTGATGTTGTTAGATGCAAGTTTCATGTTGTAGAAATTTTCGTTTGAAGCGCCCAAAGTCATGAAATGGACCTATAATGAAAATGACCTGTAATCGTACTTTCCCAAAATACCCATGCCTTGCAAGCTTCTCAACTTGAGTTCTACAAATCAGATGAAGGACTTTTATGACTTTTTGGAAAGCTAAGATCATAAGGAACAACTTTCATGTTCATCAAAAGTTGAGGTGAAACATGATTATAGGTCAGAAATGCCTTGGAAGTTGGTTGACTGAAAATACATCCATTTGAGGACCCATAACTTGTCAGCATCATAACTTGAGTTCTAGAAACCCAATGGATGAGTTATAGTACTCAAAAGAAAGCTAGAAACATGATATACAAGTTTCATGTTTGCATCAAGATGAAATGAAACTTGTATCTTGAGATATGTGGTCTTGAAGTTAGACACTAAATAGGGGATTTTACACTGACAGGCTTAGAAACCCTAGCTTAGTAACTTCTCACACTCTTGATTCTTATTGAATGGATCTTGGAATAACATCTCATATGCTTCAACACAACTTTCCATGATCACAGTGACTTGGAATTAAGTCTCAAACCACTTCAAATCTCCAGATGACTTTGCACTAGGCAGACGAATCCATAGGTGTACAATCCTTTGACTGTAACCCCTTGTACATGATGTAATCACTTGGATAAGCTCCACAATGGATCTTCAAGCACTCAGTGAGCTTTCACAACATTCTCCATCCATAACCATGGACTCACAATCCTCTAATAATCTTTATTTGGCCTCCAAGATAGGAGCTATACCACACACATCCATCTCCTTTCTCAAAGAGCTTTGACCTTCTCTTGATGATGATAAACACTTGACCACTTGAATAAAACCTCCTACTTAGGCTTAGACCTTGGGTAACTTTCTCTTGCTATGCACACCTCTCCTGATCCCCTGCAAATGAATAATGATATGCAAATGCAAATGCTAGAACAATGAGATGAAACATAAACCAAGTTAGAAAAAGGTTGGGCAAATTTTGGGGTACAACACCTGCAAGGCACTCTGATGTTAAAGTAAGTAACAAGGAGAGAAAGCAAGTACAAAGTGTTTAGGTTTATGTTAGAATGAATTGTATACCTGACCCTCTCAAGTGAGAGGGTATTTATAAGAATCCCCCAGCGCGGGTCCAAGGTCTCCAATGTGG